CTTGACCACAAATTAACATATTTGTCTCATGAATAATAAAACAACTTTAAATAACTTTTTTGTTATATAAAAAATCTAAAATAATTTGTGATAACAATTCAATTATAATTGTAATTGCATTTCTTAAACCCAGATTATGAGTTACAAATCTCACTTTTATAACAGCTTTACTGAAATATAATTCATATACCATATAATTTACCCTTTTAAAAGTATACAATTCAATAGTTTTTAGTATATTCACATAGTTGTGCAACCATTACCATTATTCAATTCTAGAATGTTTTCATCAACTTAAAAAAGAAATCCCATAACCTATTAGCAGTAACTCTCTATTTCCCCATCCCCTATCCCCTGGCAACCACTGATATGCTTTCTATGTCTTATGAATTTGCTTGTTCTAGATATTTCATATGAATGGAATCATTCAATATGTGGCTTCTTTTATTTAGAATAGTGTTTTCAAGGTTCAAGCACGTATCAATATTTCATTTTGTTTCATGATTGTATAGTATTCTACCATGTGGATATACCCATTTTTTAAATTCATTCTTCAGTTGATACACATTTGGGTTGCTTTCATTATTTTGCTACTATAAATAATGCAGCTATGAACATTTATGTATATACTTTTACATGGACATATGTTTCAATTCTCTTGGGCATGTAACTAGCAATAGAATTACTAGGTCAGATGACAATCTATGTTTAACCTTTTGAGTGACCACCAAATGTTTATCAAAACAGCTGCACATTTTACATTCACTCTAGCAATGTATGAGGGTTCTAATTTCTCCATATCTTTGTCAACACTTATTATGATCTGTGTTTTTGATTGTAGTCATTTTGGTGGATGTGAAGTATGTCATTGTGGATTTGATTTGCATTTCCTTAGTGACTAATAATGTTGAGCACCTTTTAGGTGATTACGGACCAATTGTATATCTTCTTTGGAGAAATATCTACTCAAATTATTTGCCCATTTTTAATATGGTTGTCTTTTTATTTTTGAGTTGTAAGAGCTCTTTTTGTATTCTGGATAAAAGTTTCTTATCAAGTATATGATTTAGAAGTATTTTATCCCTTTCTGTGGATTTTATTTTCACTTTCTTCTTGGTGTCCTCCAAAGCACAAAGTTTTTAATTTTGTTGAAGTCCAGTTTATGTGTTTATTCTTTTGTCACTTACATAGTTGGTATCATACCTAAGAAATCATTTCCTAACCCAATATCATAAAGATTTGGTCCTAAGTTTTTCTCTGAGAGTTTTAGCCCTTATGTAGGTCTGTGATCTATTTTGACTTAATTTAGTAGATGTTGTGAGGTAGGGGACCAACTTCATGCTTAAGCCTGTAGACATCTAATTTTTCAAGGAACATTTGTTGATAATCTCATGGGACATTAAATTTCATTTTGAGTTGACATATAACCAAAATACCTTTTTAACATTCTTAATTTGTTTTACCAAGGAACAATCTAAAAATGTCCTGGTGTTTCAAAGAAATAAATTATTGTATATTATATGAAGTGATAATCAGGATGCTGTAAACATTTTTGCTAGCAATGCCTGCCTACTTTTACTGTAGCTTAGCTTAGAACTTTTAAAAAATTAATACTCTTATGAAACATATAAGTACTTTCAAGAAATTAATACCCTCCTGAAACTAGAACATATTTTAGCCCATTCAGGCTGCTATAACAAAATTCCTTAGACTGGGTATTTATTAATTTCTCATGTTCCTGGAGGCTGAAAAGTCCAAGATCAGTGCACCAGCAAATTCAGTGTCTGGTGAGGGCTTGCTCTCTGCTTCAAAGATGGTGCCTACTTCCTGCATCCTCACATGGCAGAAGGGAAGAACAATCTCCCTTGAGCCTTTCTTACAAAGACACTAATCCCATTCCTGTGGGACAGCCGTCATAACCTAATCACTTCCTAAAGGCTCCACGTCTTAATATTAATTACATTGAAGATTAGGTTTCAACATACTAATTTTGGGGGAATGCAGACATTTAGACCACAGCAAACACTTCGACTATTTGTAGGTAATGGAATGAACAATTTTTATGTACAGATGATTCCTGACTTAGAATGGTTTGGCTTACTATTACTCAACTTTACAATGGTGTGAAAGCAGTACACATTCAGACTGCCCATACAACCATCCTGTTTTTTTACTTTAAGTACAATATTCAATAAATTGTATAAGATATTCAACACTTCATTATAAAATAGGCTTTGTGTTAGTTTTGCCCAAATGTAGGCTAATATGTGTTATGAACGTGTTTAAGGTAGACTGGGCTAAGGTAAGATGATTAGTTGGTTAGGTGTATTAAATGGATTTTTGACTTACAATATTTTCAGTTTACAGTAGGTTATTGGGACGTAACCCCATTGTAAGTTGAGGAGCATCTATATTTATCTTTGATTAAAAATTGTTCTGACTCTTTATCTGTGTTTATTTTTCAAAGCATAGGCATTTCATTAATACACTGACAATATGGTGCTATATTTACTTTTAATTTGTCTGCTTAGTTTTAAAGTTAAATGTAATGAAAGTCAGGATTCACTGTGAGATGTAAATTACACTTCTTGTATTTAAATTTATTCTGGTTTCCTTATTAAATATCTCTTGCAAAACATAAACATTCCTTGATTTGAATGTCATCTAAAGTTGTAACAGACCAGCCTCTTCTGCTGCAGCTCTCTGTGCTTTGTTAGGAAAATACCCGATTCAGTAGATTAAAGCCCTGTCATCATAAGGAGGTAGAGCCTTCCTGAAGTAGCTAGACATTCTCAGGGTCAATCATCTGAGAAAAGTTGCAGCCATGAACTTGAACCCTGAAAGTGGGAGTTAACTAGATAGCAAAAGGGACTTTGTGCTCTGTCTCATACATTTCTTGGGTTTGGATATTTAAGTTGCTAGATATAATTGGGCATTTGGGTTAGAGCTGAATAGGAGGCAGTCATGTGCTGAACTTTAAACTGAAAACAGGTAAACTGTATGCCAGATGATTCAGTTCTATGACATTCTATGTTTACTTCCTTTGTATTATGTCCAAATATTTGGTTATCTTGCATTTAAAGATTTCAGCCTTGCCTTGACTGTGCTCTGAGAATTTAAGAAAAGGGATATTTACCTTTGCTTAAACCAGAGTATTAAATTCAGAGAGTATTAAATTCAGAGCCTCACTCAGTATTCTCTCTTTTGAAACCATCATTAGTGAGCTACCTAAAGGGGAAGATGAATTTGGAGTCTTGAATAAGGCTTTCAGAGACCTAGCTGACTTTCCAGTGACAACTTTGGAGGCTCTTGGTTTATTTTCTTAAGGAAAATGGAAATTTTTCTCTTAAAAGATAAAACTTGTGTTTTATGATAGCAAAAAATATTTTCTTTTCAATTACATTGCTAGAAAAAAGTACAATTATGTGAGATGAGTTGCTTTACCTTTCTAACTTGTTTACTGGTTAGATAAGTAAACAAAGTTGGCCTCAAACTTTAGAAGAGGGTGGACTTGTTAACATGAACATGTTAGCATATACGTGTTCTTTTACCTTAATCTATATGCACATGAACTCCCGACCACAGGTGATCCACCCACCTCGGCTTCCCAAAGTGTTGGGATTACAGGCATGAGCCACCACACCTGGCCCATTATCTGTGCTAGAATATTAAGATACCTGCTTTTCTTGTATGTACTCTAGCATTAGTCATGTGTATATGCTGAAATGGATATTTGAAAATATTTTGTGGCTTTTATAATGTGTGTATGTCATTTGATTTTTATTATTCTCTTCCCTAATTATTTACACCTAAAAATAATTATCTTAAAATCTTTGAGGTAAATTTTATGGTCATTCCCGTTCTCTGATGCTTTTTACTCTAGTTATAAACGAACAAAGCACATATTAAAGCAACCTAAGTATCGAAGCCTTGGCTATGCTCTTGGTGATTCTGCTCACACCTGAACACTATAAATAGCTTGTCCTGTCAATTTTTTATATTCATGCAGATTGTAGCCTTTCCTTTATTCCTACTTGACTACTTTGTGCTCTGTCATTCACTTCTTTTTCTTAGGAAAAAAAAGTGACCTAGATATTTGAAGTCTAGCTTGAATTTGCCTTTTTCAAGGACCTTGTAGGAAACTCTCTGCTCCATAAATAAGCATCCTGTCTTGGGTGGTAGAGAGGTTGGGCCCAATGAGCACATTTCTCACTGCAGGCTTCGGGTCACTAAGGCTGTTCCTCATACCTCTCACACCTGGCACCAGCGGGCTTGTGCAACAAATTTCTCCCTTTCTTGGGAATGTTGGAAAACGTGGAATTCCAATGTGCTCAGAGAATATGGTTTAGAGAAACTCGCATGTGAAGATGACCTGATTCAAAATGTCAGTCAACTAATTAAATAATTGATTTCCTATTGAATATTTAATATCCCAGCAGCAATTAAATTTCATTTCAAGTTACTTCATACTTCCTTGGATGTTTTATTTATTTAGAATGTTACAGAATTATAGCAAGGGCTTTCTTTTTCCAGGAGAGGCAATGGGTGAAAGGAAATGTCTTTAAGAGAGCTATAGACTAGACCATTGTGTATGGAGGCCTGGACTATGGAGGCCTGGACTATAAAAGCCATGATGACATCATCAGTATCTGACTGATCATTGAAAACCTAGGAATGAATGAGGGCATGGAGGAGAGGCAGACAGTGGAAAGAAAAGAGCACAGAACAGGGTTGTATTAGTCTGTTCTCATACTGCTAATAAAGACATAGCTGAGACTGGGTAATTTATAAAGGAAAGAGGTTTAATTGACTCATGTCTGGGGAGGCCTCACAATCATGACAGAGGTGAATGTGGAGCAAAGTCACATCTTACATGGTGGCAGGCAAGAGAGCTTGTGCAGGGGAACTGCCATTTATAAACCATCATATCTCGTGAGACTTATTCACTACCACGAGAACAGTATGGGGGAAACTGCCCCAATGATTCGGTTATCTCCACCTGGCTCCACCCTTGACACATGGGGATTATTACAATTCAAGGTGAAATATGGGTAGGGACACAGCCAAACCTGAATATCAAGGGTGCTTACAGATTCCATTAGTTAATGAAATAAGGGACCCAGCTAGGCATTTTTATTGACAGTAGAACCAGCAGATTTATTCCTTAAAATTTGGATGTCAATGTGGAGATGTACTTTAGATACTACCGCTTCAAAATTAACAGTTTTTTTCATTTCAGTTAGGTTTGACCTCAAGAAGATACTTTCAAAGAAAATATATATTAGTACATCCTGTTCTTTTGGTTATGATTTTTGATTTTACATGTACAGTTTTAAATTTGTTGTTGATCTTTTTAAGGAACAAGATTGGAAAAGCAAACAAGACAGGTAGCTTTTATTGATACTTTAATTGCTGATTTGGGGTTGGGTTCTCTTGAGACTAGAGTTTTTTCTTGCATGAAAAGAAACCCACGTGAATATTTTTCCTTACTGGAATTTGGAAGATATAACCTAAAATGGAAACTAAAGTTTATATTTAAAATTGTAGCCTCCCATATAAGCAGTCTTATTTATTGAATTTCAAGTATTCATTTTATTTCACTCAGAAGTTGGGTTTTATATGTATACTTTTTATTTTTTTTACTTATAAAGCCTTGCCTAGTCTTCTACATCATTGTTATTAAATAACAGTAAATTGAGTCAAAGAATTTCTTTCCAGTCATTAATTTACTACAAAGTCTTATACTTTCAGTTAAAACATTTTATTATTTGTATTACACTATATGCTGGCTGATTTGATCACCGCTGTGACTTGTACACTGTGCTAGAAATTAGGGTACAGGAGCACAAAATACCTAATCCTGGCTCCAGCTGAGCACCTGCCCCTAGATCGATGCTGCCTAGTAGTGAAGATTAAGACAGTATGGATGTAGATTTCATTTGTGGGTGTAACTGTGGCAGCAGGGCTATTACTTTTTACCAGCATGAGTGACCTTTCCTATCACGGTGTGTTTCCAATTCCATTTGGGTACAGTGAGCTGAAATGATTGGCCAGATGTTATGGCTCATTTATCTAAAGTCTCCCTTTAACTCTAGTTGTGTTATATTACTCTGCCTTTTTGAACTCTGTTTTGTTTAGTTCAAACAAACAAAAAGTTTAGTCATCTGAAGCAGAATTTAGCAAATGTGTATTTATTAATCGAAATTCTCTCACATCTCAAATATTCTTTATCTTGCAGAATCAGCATAATTCTCTAGCAAGCTTGTATTTTTATGACATTCTTTCAAGTTATTGGAAATTTAGTTAAAATTGCAGAAACTACCAATATATCTTGAATCACTTAAAAATTTACTTTAGCCCTTAATTGAAAAACCGCTAGAAGAAATTTATTTGGTTTTGTGTAATGTAATTCCTTTTGGTGAATGTTCAGTGAGGCTAAATAATCTGACACATCTGCTTACTGACATATATGTATTTTATATGTAAGATATATATTTAAAATATATGTGAAATATCACCTGAAACTTTAAAATTTACTTTTACATTTATTATTCTTCAATAAAATGAATAAGGTATGGACTTTTGCACTGATAAAAAGCAAACTTCTGCCTGCCTTTCTCCTTCACAGGTGAACATAATCACTTAAATGAACTATCATGCACTTAGACTTCATACTCCCCTTACTTTTGTAGTACAACCATTTGTGCCCATTAAATTGTAAGTTCCAAAAAAATCTGACTCTGGCTGACTCATTAATAAATGTTCAGTACCCACAGGAGTGTTTTGCCGACAGGAGATGCTCATTATATTTTTAATAATTGAATTGTTTATTTTAAGGTCTCTTCAATAGATAATCAGAACCTGAAAGAGAAGTGTAAATAATAGCAACATTTTCTTTGTACTTTGAAACTACATCTAGGAAGAATGACTGTAACGCTATATTCCTAATTTGTATATCCGAAGACATTTCAGGTCTATTCTAGTACGATGTCATAGTAGGGTCACATGTACAATTAAACATAGACTTTCAGAGTTGAAAGGATCCTGAAATGTCATTATTCCAGCTTTCCATCCAATGCTTGAGTTCCTTCGATAGCAGTTGTTCCCAACTTTTGCTGTATATTAGAATGAGTTGGGGAGGTTTAAAAATCCCAGTGCTCAGGCCCCATCTCAGCCCACTTATGTAAGAATTTCCAGGGGGGAGACCTAAGCATTGATATTTTCTTAGAACCCCATAGGTGATTCCAGTGCGCATTCCAGGTAGCGAGCCGTTGTTCTACAAAATCTCTGCAAAATATTTTTCCAATCTAATTGAACTCCTCTGAAGATGAGCACCTCACTACCAAAGTCTGACTTGTGTTTATTCCATTTATTCGAATAGTAACTTAATTATAAGTGTGTTTAAATTATAAGCTGGTTAAATGAAATAACACAAATCAAGCTCACCAATTTTAATACTCAGCTGTTGATAAACAACCCTGAAGAGTGACATTTACATTTAAATTATCTTCTTTGAAGTAGCATTGCAGCACTTTTGAATGACTTCCAAAAGGCTGATCATAAAATCACTTCAATCACTTTCAAATTTTACTTTAGCAGCAATGAAGTTATTTGGTATGACTCAGATGAACAGTCTGCTCTGTCCTGGAGTTATTATGGTCATTTCATTTTCTGCAACCTGGGGAAACAGACAAGGGATGAGCAGACTTGTTTTTACATGTACCTTACAGATTTGCCTTGCAGTGTTTATGATTAAAAGTTAGGTAGGCACCTTTAGAAATGTGCTAGCTTCACAGGAAGGTAATTTACCCTGTAGACAATTTTAAATATACTGAAAGAATTGAGTGGAGTAGTGAAGGCTTGGTTTTATAAAGCTCTTTGATTTTAGAGTAGAATTTTCAGAGGAAGCGCCATGTGACCACACACACAAACACACAAACCCGTATTCTTGCTTAGGAACTTATCTGTCCTGAGACCATCCACCTGCATGTCAGTTCTTTTGAGCACCTTTACATTTCTTTTGGTTCTTTAGTAGGACCTGGCTTCTAAAAGTCAGTATATGACATAACTGATAAATACTTAAGTAGTTCTAGGGTCTTAAGAGCTGTGTTTGAGTTTCACCTCCCTTCCTACTCATGGTGTAGCCTTGGGCAAATTATTAATTTCAGCCTTAGTTTCCCTATTTTTACAGTACAAAGAATGCCATATATCTTGTAGGAATGTTATGAGGATTTGTAGTAATAATGCATATAAAACTTCACGGTAGCCCCTTCATTATAGAAAGGCCTCATGGACTTAAATTTTGTGATACATTAGAATACCAGCATTGCTGGGCATACTACGATGATAATACATTTTCCTTTTTTTCCCTACAGTAGTAGGAAAACATCCCGAGGCTAGTTCTGTAGAGAATATCATCTTTATGCTCTTTTATAAAAAACTATTCTGAGACATGATCTTAGATTGTTCCTTTACCAAAATAAGTTTCCTCTTGGAAGTCCGAATGCTTCAGCACATGGGTAAGCATGGGTCTCTTTAAGGATATAGAGGATAGGGGATGGTTGAAGCCCCTCGATTTTCTCTGGGGAACCAGGAACGCTAGCCTTTCTAGTAGCATACGTCAACCAAGACTTTCCTGGCAGGTCTTCATTGCTAGTCTTCTTGTCTGTTACTCTGTAGAGTTGCCAGATAAAGGACAGCCATTTAAATTGGAATTTCAGATGAAGAACTAGATTTCTGTTAGTATAAATATGCCTCAAAGGCTGCATGGGACTTTTATATTTATTCATTATTTACCTGAAATTAAAATTTAACTGAGCATCCTGTAGGTTTCTTAGTTTTTCTGAATCTGACAACCCCTACCTACATGCTTTGTAGGAATTTTGGGGTTAGATGTTGGGCAGGGTTTATCCTAAAGTAATATATTACTATTTTTGAATGAAGTAGAGAGGAATACTTCTTAGTAAGTGAAAAGGCTAAATTACAGCATTAAAATTTCTTCATTTGTTAAAATACTACAAATATAATTGTTACAAATTAATATCAATAAATAAAAGTAGACAATGCTGATCCACATAGAAGAACATCTTCCTACTTATCTAATCCCAAGAATTTAAGGGAATCTTGAACCTAAGCATCTTCCAACTACATACTTAAGGCATATTAAAGAGAATATATGATAGTATAAGTATATCCTTTTTAAAGAAAGTCTGAAATTAAAAAGGGTCGAAGTGTGATTATTCTTTAAGACATGTACAATCATTTTATTTATATATATTTTACATATTAGTGTAGCAATTCCTAATTACTCCATAACACACTGAATTCTCCCTTCTGTAAACTTGTAAAGCATTTACTTTGTTATTCATTTATTCATATTAAGTAAGCATCTTCTTTGTGCCAGGAATTGTGCTGAGTGCTAAGGGTATAAAAATAAGAGCAAATCTCTGTCCATGTGGAGCTCATCATACAGCTCTGGAAACAGATACAATATTGACATTATAATGCAACGTGACAAGAGCTATAACAATGAAATGAATTGCTTCTAAGATCCAGAAAAAGTAGTCTGATGGAGGCTTCGCTGGAGAAGGGACATTTAGACTGGATTTTCTAGGACTAAGAAGCAAATGAGGCTATTTTAGGCAGAGAAGGAGAGAGAGAGATAATGAGTAAAAAAGAATAAAAAAACCCCCCTCAAACCCAACACCCCAGCCTGTGAAATAACCTGCTGTAACTTGGAACTAGTGAGAAGACGGCATGGGGAGGGGCACCCTGGAAACAGGGTAGAATGTAAAGAGTTGGCGATTCGATTTAAAGACAGGCAAGAGGAGCCCATGAAGAACATTTTATATCAGGTTATAAATTCTGTTTTTATTGTATAGTCAACAGAGTTTTAAATAAGACTGAGGCCTTAAGTCAGTAAGACCTAATTGTTTGTTTCAGGAATATATCTGGAATTTGAAATAACACGCGGCCAGAAATTGTTGCAGTAGTTCATGGGATACATGAGGACAAAAGGAATAGTGTGCTTGCACTAGAAGTGGAGAGATCTTGAATGTGAGACATTTCTAAGTTAGAATTATTAGGATTTGAACACTTTTTCTGTTGTTGGTTTATTTTTATTTTTATTGTTTTGTATGAGGAAGAAGGTATGAGGATACAAAATAGGGATAGTTCATGTATGTGTGTGTTATTTCCCTAAGGCCTTAAGGTCATTAGAGGAAGGGTCTCTCTCCTAACAAACAATAGTCAATACAGTCTTGTTCAATTTAAACCAGAAACACAAAATGTTTAAGATGGGTGTATTTGTATGTCTGTACTTCATTATTATTTTGACAAATCTAGTCAGTATTACAAGAATAACAGGATGCACATTGGCAAACCCATTTTTATCCCACTTAGTTAAATAAAATAATCCAGTTGTCTGACACATAATGATTTTATCAAAATTAACCTTTGTCTTTGATAACTTCTGCCCTGTGATTGTTATCGTTTACTTTAAAATATAATCATGGCCAGGTGTGGTGGTGTATGCCTATAATCCCAGCTACTCAGGAGGCTGAGGTGGGAGGATCAAGACCAACCTGACAACATAGACTCCATTTCGTAACAAACAAACAAAAATGTTTGTATCAAAATATCACATGTACCCCATAAATATATATATGTATCTATTATGTACCCATAATCATTAAAAATTTTAAAAAAATATAATAATGTATAGTTCTTTTCATTTTTTAATGTGTCAATATAATTGTTCTTTGGTGCCAGGCATAGTGGCTCACAATTGTAATCCCAGCACTTTGGGAGGCCAAGGCAGGAGATCACTTGAGGCCAGGAGTTCAAGAGCAGCCTTAGCAACGTAGTGAGACCCTGTCTCTACAAAAAATTTAAAGAATTAGCTGGGCATGGTGGCATATGTCTGTCATTCTAGCTCCTGCGGAGGCTGAGGTGGGAGCATTACTTGAGCCTGGGCGGTTGAGGATGCAGTGAGTTGTGGTTGCAGCACTGCACTCCAGCTTAGGCAACAAAGCAAGACCTTGTCTCAAAAAAAAAAAAAAAAAAAAAAATTTGTTCTGTTTCATAGGTAAAGAATTCAATGCTGGATAAGTCTGAGATAGACCAAATGTGGACTTTGAATTCATAGTTTTAGCTTTGTCGCTCAGTGTTAAAATCATAAAACCTGCAACAAAGAAGCAACAAGCAGTGATGCTTTATATGGAAGGACTTTCTTGTTCCAAGAAATGTATCACTTTATATACAACACAATGTACTATTTAAATGTAACATAAATTATATATTCCTATGCATTATTTCTCTGTTTATATATATTTTTATACTAAAAAAATGCTATTTGTGAGTTGAGTTTTACATGGTTGTATTAAGGGAGGCGCACCAGTTGATGAGGTGTTGTATGAGGTCTTTAAACACACCCAGACTCTAAGGCGGCAATGAATAACCTTGAACAGGTAAGGAGCCAGGTGGCCCTAGGGTAGGGAGAAAGTGCGACATTGTAACATCCCTTTGAATAATGTCTGCAGCCAGATCCTGTGTCACCATGACTCAGCATCACACAGACATTGATTGCACAGCACAAGGAACACACAGGAAGCAAAGCTGGTCTGTCACATGGCAATTAGTTTGAGACACCACACCTGTATTCCCACCGCACATGTCATTCCTCCGTATCTTTGGCTACCACAGAGGAAAGCAGAATGGATCTGGGCAATTTATTGTCTTACTTTCGCTGAGGAGAGGGAGAGCAGGAGAATGCATGCTATTCCACTTTTTCTGTGCTGCAGTGGGCGTGTTGGTCATTGCTGGGAGCCCTTCAGTGAAGGAAAGTTACAGAACACCAAAAAGTGTCAGGAGCTTCCATGTGGCTGAAAAACCACATTCCATGGACATCAGCCAGTGTTGTAGTGTTAGGCTGTGACTTAGGCATGTAACTGGGCCAACGATTCCAGTTTTGCATGGAAAAAGCACACATGATTAGTTTTTCAATGAGGAAGTAGGCAAGTTGTATTAATCTGTTGACTGAGAGCTTATAATATACTCATGATGAAATCTCTCTGGAGCAAGTCCTATGAAACAGTGTAATGACTTGGCACAGGATGGCTGGATTTGCTTTAAAAAAATTCTCATTCATGTTTATTTAGGTCCAAAGGATCCATTATACTTCAGCTTTATATGCTATTAAATTTAGAGATGACACAATTCAGGACACATCTTACATAGTTCTTTTGGTGGAACAAAAGCCCTGATAGAATAAGGTGACATTTATGGGCCTTTAATATCAACATTACAGAAGAAGGGGAATTGCATTTTCTTTGTATGTAAGAAAATAATGACTAGAGTAATTCTGAAATGAAATCATGGCATTATTGTCAGGATTGGTAAATCTTTTTAATTAAGCTATTATCATTTCCGTCATGCAGCTGCATTTAATGTCTTAAGTAGGCAACATGATATTTTCACAGGAATTATCAAATAAACTCAGTATGTTAGCTTCCCAGGGACATGGAAGCTTTGAATATAGAGGAGGAGAAGGTCCGATGAGGGGAAAAAGACCTTCTGAACCCCCTGTGGTCATAATTCCAGGGAAAGAAGGAGAAGAAACTTAAATGTTTCTAACTGCTTACTGTCTGTTAAGATTTTTAATGTATTTTATTCCCTTTAATTTTGAAAGCAATTCTGTGAGTTGAATAATTATTTCCATTTTTTTGCTAATGAGAAAACAAGCTCCTCAGAGAAGGTGAACAGAAACTGACCTATTAAAACCCTATCATGTAGGTACTGTGTAGGAAGTTAAGATGTATTTTCTCATTTAATTATCAAAATAAGTATCATTTTATGAACATGAATTAAAATAGGCTAGATTATACTTTGGTAACAAATAGACCCAAAATTTCAGTGGCCTAATAATATAAAGGTTTATTTTTCACTCACACAAAGTTGACTTTGATGCCAGGGGACTTCCCAAGCCAGTTCCTCCTGTGGTTTCTTGGCATTCGAGGCCAAGGGAAGGGAAGTAGCACCATGATGCGGTCACACTGCCTGGAATGAGGACTCCTTGCTTGTTGCCGCAGGGAAAAGTGACAGGAGAAGACTGCATGGGTTCTTAAGGCCTCAGCCTGGGACTTACGCACGTCCTCTTCCCTCTTAGCCCATTGTCCGGGGTCTAGTCACATGGACTCACCGCACAGTGGGCAGGTTGGGAATCGCGAGGGAGAAGAGGGATAGCAGTGACCCCAACTGGGTCTGCCACGGCACTGTCACCCCCATTTTAAAAATGAGAAGACTGAAGTTCAGAGAGGTTAGATTATGTTCCTTGATCACTTCCTTGGTGATCTGTAGACTTAGTTCTTGAAACTAGATCTCTCTCAGTCTAAAGAATCTGTTTTTTTGCCCTCTACTTCATCTCACCCCACACACACTCTGAGTAATTTCGTGGTTTGGAGTTAGGTATGGATCTGTGGTCGCCAGCCTTCAAGATGGCTCCTGTCATCCTCGCCTCCTGGGATTCATGCCCTTGTTGTTCCCTCTGTCAGTGAATAGGGCTGACCTGTGTGACCAGTGTGGTATTGCAGAAGAGACAGTGTGACTTCTGGGACTAGGTCATAAAAGACAGTGGTGTTTTCATGTGTCAGTGCTCTCTGTTGGATCCCTTGCTCTGGGGAAAGCCAGCTGCCATCAGGTGGGGACGCTAGAGCAGCCCCAGGGAGCCCCGATGTGGCAAGGAACTGAGATCTTCTGCCAACACCCAGGACCAACTTGCCATCCATGAGAGTGGGCCATCTCGAAAGTGGGTGAGTCAACCCAGGTCAGCCTTCAGATGGTTGAGCCTAGGCCAACATCTTGACAGCAAACTCATGAGAGACCCTGGGCTAGAACCACTCAACTAAGCTGCTCCCAAATAATTCTTGACCCACAGACATTGTGTGAGGTGATAAATGCTTACTGCCATTTTAAGAAGCTAAGTTTTGGGGTAATTTATTATGTGGCAATAGATAACAATATAAACCTTTTTGGATTATTTCTTTGTGTTTTTCCCACAACTCTGAGACAATTCCTACTTTTAACGGTGAGTTTTTAAGAGCTAAATGAGAAAGTAATTGCCACACAATGTTATTAAATTTTAGCTGAATACATCTTATTATTTACTTTAATCTTGTAGTTCTAGGCAAGCTCTGTGTGAAGGTCTACACTAAAAAATGATATACTCTGATCTAGTTCAGAAGGGAGAATTTTTGAAATTTACTTTCCATCAAATGTGTATTTTTCTGTTTTGAGATATTACCTGCCTGAGATTATTTTATAGTTTAAATTACATCGTGAAGTTTTGAGAAAGAACAAGCCAAGTACATTTTTATTAAGAGTTTACTGTTAGGAGGAAGACAGAATCTAGAAGTAACTCCTTGCTTTTTTTGCAAGGAGAGTGTTGTCAGTGTTTCAGTCAGTGCTTGCTGCTGAGGCAGGAGAGAATAATTGTGTAAAGAGGGGCTCCCGCAGTGCAGGACAGGAAGCCACCATGTGAGCACCATGTCCACATGCAGGTCGCAGGCTTCATTATGTCCTGAATACCATGCCTCAGCATTTCATGTGAGTAGTCTTAGATTATTCATCAAAGAACGGGTTATATTTACAAATATAATGGTTTTAAGGAATATTATAATTCAGCATCTTGACCACTGGTACTGGTACAACATGTTACAATATACTGTGCGTTTAAGTTTTTCAATCACACATGATTTACTCTTTAATGTTGTGCAGTCTTTCTGAGATCATCTTTAAGCTGGGGAATCTTGTGTTTCCCAGGGTACCAGGAGGGGAAGACTGGGTACGAGTCAGTAGTCTATGAACTCCAGTGAAAGGCAGCAGGATACAATTTCTATTTGATTTAACATTCTCTTAATATCGCTGTTTTAATAACCTTGTGTTGGGTGAGATAACATTTTCTTAATGAAAACCTTTTCACTAACCATTGATGCCCATTTGCCCCTACCCCCATTAACAAACACTTCCCATATATACACTCTGAACTTTCTATCTTAGCTTACTTTTTGACAGTTGGGCAAATGACAGTGGAGAGAACATTGTTTAGATCAAACAACATATTATTGTTGAAAATATGGCTGTCTCCTAGAAATATAGCCAAGTCAGGGTAATAGTAACCATATATTCACATATACAGATTTTGTAGGTCTACATATACAAAAATATAGACACATATACATTTCCACATATAACTATATATAAAAAACTGTTAACTGTAATTATAATTACACACACACACATACACACACACACACACACACACACACACACACACATATACATAAACAGGTTGGAAGTAGGAGATCCCCAAGGAAGTGGAGACTGAAATTCAGACACGGAGACCTTAGCAAGGTGAGTCAGACAGTGAGAACTGATGAGAGATTCCCTGAAGGAACATCTAGCAGATTTTAGTGGACAAAGCAAAACAAAGAATCAAAGATAATGCAAAAGTTTCTAATGAAAAGTCATACTTTAACAAGCATGGGGAAATAAAATTACAAACTTTTGATATACATAATAATTTTTATGAGTAGAATCCAGAGAGGTGGCTGCAGCAGGAATTACTGTCACCATTTTGTAAATGAAGAAACTGGCTCAAAGAATTTTAATTGATTTTTTTTAAGGTTTCATAGTTAGTCGAGGATAAAGCCAAAATTGGAATCGGGGGGGTTTTGACTTCAGATCTTTCCATTTCCATGGATTCCTCAACTGGGGATCTGGGCATGGCCCTCTAGGATCCATGCTGTGCTATCCTGTCATGCATAGGCTGTGTGTGTCTGTGGATTTTCTCGGTTAGAGGACCCAGACTTTGAGATTCTCAAAGGGGCTGTGACTCGATAGAGCTTAAGAACTTTGTTTCTCCCTAGTGACTGCCTGGCTCAAGGGACCAGAAGGATGACGAAATGAGAGGGATGGTCCTGCTGAATCATTAGATCATAGAAAAGTACATTCCCACAATGGAGAGACCTAGTTGTGTCAAGAGTCCTGATTGCGGGACAGAAAAGAGCAAGAGTGTTGGAAGTTAGGTAAATTTTTAAGGGAAAAATCTTACTTGGGGCTGGGCTAACTCTGCATCCCACTCAGGAAAACAGGTCGGACTGAACAGTTTAGGCCACATGGATGTTATGACTAAGCAACAGTTTCGCAGCTCGCCCATGTGCATGTGCTTTCCAGTTTTTTGGATATTTCTCCCATAGGCAGTTGTTCTTGTGCTCTGTTGCATGCTGATGCTCAACTGCAGAGGAACTGAATGGAGAAGTTCAGAGAGACAGTGGTTTCTGACCACTGGCTGCGGTGCTGTGGATGGTGCCAGTGAAGGGTGGATGCCTTTTGTTGAAAACTCGCTTCGACTTTGTCATCAAGGTGTCTCTGCCATTTTATAATCTAAAGTCAGATCTGTTTACACTTCATAAGTATTGTTGGGTTTACTTGGCAATATATAGAAATGTCTATGGAGAAGTCCTTCGATTGCCATAATTCCTTTTTTCTCAAGCGTAGTAAATAGGAAATATTCTTAAGCATGAAATAGTGAAGAGCTAAAGTGGGAGGGCTGGAATTTGAAACTGCCTGAACAAACTCAGTCTCTAGAAGAACCCCACTACTGTTGGAGTTACTGTGAATATGTGAGCAACCTTCTAAGGCTGAATTGAGTCCACTATGAGGTTGTGGCTTGTTATACAAATTTCGAAACCATGAAAACAAATCGGCATGAAAGTAGTGTCATGCTAAAGCATCCTGGTTGCCTTAAACCTCAAGCGTGGTGCCCAGAAACATATTTTACAGCACAACTGCTTTTGATCATTTGAGTGTTCACTAAGGAAATCATTGCATCGCATTAATACACATGTGCACGTTTGTCCTGTTGAAATTGACTTAAAAAGTTTAGTGCGAAATCCAGTGGCACTTACAGCATCTTCCTTATAATAAAAAAGTAGCAATAACACAATTTCCTTCAGATCCACAACCACGTACCTGGGTATCCAAATGATCTAAAATTGTTAGCTTAGCTCTGTCTCCATCTCAGGTGCAAACAAGGAAGCTGAAAGTGTGTTTTGGGGTTAAAATATTCAAATGCAACAAAATAATAGTCAAGACCTTTCTTCAGGAAAAGATCCGTTGAAAGACACTTGACAGGATCCTGCAGGACATTGAGTTCCATTCCCCTGAAAAATGGAATTATCTCTCTGTTTAATGTTAGACATGAAGGTAAAGAATCTTACCTATACATTTGTGGAAGCAGATAGAGAAGAAATCAATCAAACTATTCAGAGTGGCAACAGGACAAATAAAGAGCTCCCGACAGCGGTCACAGGCAGATGATGGAGACACCACATTAGAGAATTAAAGAATAATAGATTTTCTCCGGTTCAAGAAATGCCTTTTTTTCCCCTTGTGGCATAATAATAATAAACATTAATCTTAATGGCAGAATCCTGCTATGGGAAAAGAGCCTTTTCTAACAGAATGCAGTGGCAGTGTACTGGAACACATAGTGTTCTAATTGAGCATGTACCACACCTACATTTTTAGAGGACTTTACAGTTTACAAAGCTCTTTTAACACTTCTTATCTCATCCAAATAGGCTGGAGTCCTATTTCTGATTTCCCAGTTGACCATGTGAAATACAAAAACTTGCTCAACCTCTCCCAGAATCACTTTCTTTTCCTTGCAAAATGAGGAAATTAATGCCATCCCAAATGAATATTTTCTTTCTAAATCAGTGAATGAGAGTATGTTTTCTCTATAAATAAATTAGCAACTCTAATAACTGGAGGTCACAATTAACTGATCTAAATGTTAAGTCGATTAACCATTCAATTTGAATTTTGGAGTATGTTAATTTTAACTGTGATTGGTGCAAAATTACTGTACATTTTGATTTCTTTGTTACTTAAATATTTTTCTTTCAGATGTATATCTCTCTTAAAACCATGAATTTTATTGTACTTCCTGTTACCGCAATGAAATATTATTAAAGTCAAGTCAGTTTTTATGCCTTAATGGTTTAATATTCTTAACATGCTCACTATTTTTAATGAGTTTTTTCCTATAGAAAGTAAATCATTCTCTTTTTCAACACTTCAATAAAGTAACCTTTTCATGTGAATTTAATTAACATGTAAGTTTTTTCCCTTCATAATATGATTAGAAAAAGATAATTCAGTATTTTTTAATCTGATTTTGAAAATTTTACCCTGCAAAATCATTATTTAAAATTTGAGTTTTTTTCTATACTTGTATGGACTTTAGAAATGAATATCAAAATAAAATCCTTTTTCTTTCTTCTTTTGGCATTGGATAAAATAGTGGTGTGGGGACCATGGGTTCTGTTCTCACTAAACTCATAATTTTTATAAGAAAGAGAGACACAGATTTATTGAATAAAATCTGTGCTGTGTCAACGAAGTGCTATTATACATAGAAGTAAACAGCTGATTTTGCCTGCAGGCAAGATTAACTTCCCCCATATCATTCTGTTCATATTGCACTTATCCTGTTGATAAGGTATTATAATGAGAAAAGTTTCCATCTCCTCTGCTAAATATTTAACCTCTTAGAGCAGAAGCACTTTTATTTATCTCAATATCTCTATTCCTTACCTTGAATTATGCTCATTAAACATTTACTGAATTCAGTTTGGTGGAGAGAAGTTAGAAGAGCCCATAGAGGAGATAACATTTAGTAAATGAGATAATACTCGACATAGGCTTGAATAATAACGAGCCAGAAAAAGATAAAATAGAGGTGAGG